CATTGGTACAGCAGGCAAATCTTGTTCAACCATGGGCCTATTTTTCAAAGAGATCTTTTAATAATAATAAAAAAAAGATTAAAGGGAAACCAAATCCACCACAAGGTACTACATTATCTTGTAGCTTGATCTTCTAAGCAGTGGGTTTTTTTAGATAAGTCATTGCTGTGCATTACAAGCCCTTAGCAAGGCGTAGCAGCTCCTGTCTTGAGGTATCAGAAGTTTCTGCAATCTTTTGGGTCACATGAGTCCCCTCTGATAGTCTGTGGCTAAGAGCGCTTTCTGAACTATTTTGAGGCTTGGGAACGAAGCTTCCCTGACTTGTTCTTGTTGCTGTTTATCTGGTAAATCCTGAGGGGTGACTATAGCTCTCTTGTATTTTTAGCCTTTTACACACTAGATATTCATTCCTCTTCCTGAAGCACAAGCAAATGCTGCTCAAACTTGTTTTCTGGTACAAATTAGGCCATGCCTGAATCTGATGCCTCTCTTGGGATAGGTCACAGATTTAGAGATACTGAAGTCCCAAGACCTTTCCCTTCTTGGAAATGGGGAGGGGAAGTGTCACTGGCATTTTGTCCCAGACTTGTGGTTGTTCTGATCGGTTTTGCTATTCAGTACAATATTTTTTAAGATAAGGCTCTTGTTTCAATTTTGGCTTGTGCCTTAACCTAGAAAAAAATAATGGTGAAGGCAAAAATGTGGTCGTTAACACTGAATGGCCAAGGCAACACATTATACAATATTATTGACACATTGCCTTTGTTTTGTTTTATCTAGATCTGTGTATCTGTTTTGCACAAATTTTAAGGCCTACAGTGGTATTGTATCAGTCTTAAGGTACAGTACTGTGCATTTAAATAGAGCAGAAGGAAACCACCTGATGTCTGCACCTCAGGAATGGGATTATCTTCTTCCAAGACCTGTTGTAATACAGGTTTCTTCTGCAGTCAGACATAAGCACATATCATCAGTGTTTCAGTTTTTACTGATGCAGAGCATGTTTAGGATGCCACAAACTAATTCACTGGCTAGGGCAGCCGCCTTGGATAAATGTAGACACGGGGTCAAGTCTCTGCTGAGTCCAATTTGGTGCCATAAAGTCTCACCTGAAGTGGATTAAATAGAGTGGTACTATTCCATCTGGAGAGACTGAGATAAGTCCAATTCAGGGCTAGGGACAGACATTCAAAAGCCTGAGCCTGAATTGATTCAATCAGTTTTGTAACTGGACAGACATCCTAGAAATGTAGGCACATGCCTGCAGTGGCTTAAGCTAGAAGCTGGGGGGCACTAGAGCAACCCTCCCTTCCTTCCACAGAGCTGAGCTGAGGCGGGGCATGGCCAGGTCCTGGCAGGATGCTGTGATTAGCCCAGCAGGAAACTAACAGCACTGTTTATCACCCCATACTCAGTGTTTATCACCCCATTAAGAAAACAATAGAGGGACATTACTAGCTACTTGTTGATTCTACCTGTTGACCCAGCACGGGCCATAGCCAGCATTTGGTCTGCTAGCTAGTAGCTAATACACAGACACCTCCTCAGCAAGGCAGAAGGGAGGGGGGAATTCCTGCTTAGTGGGAAATGGGGGGGTGTGGAGCAGCCCACAGTGTCTGGAGCTGCAGCCAGGGAGCAGAGGGGAGGGGCCAGCCCTGCTGTGGAGCAGAGAGTCTTGCCCAGCCCAGAGAGCAAGCCAGGATGCTGGGGTCTTAAACCAACAAGGGTTCTGGAACAGACATTGCATAAACCAGCCTGACCCAAATCAGTTAAATCTGATACTACATTCAACCAGGTTTATCTCAAATCGGTTTCAGCCATTTTCAAACTGGTTTATGTGCACTGAACGTCTGTTCTGTTACAAATTTAAACCAGTTTCTGATCACTTAAACTGGTTTATATGTAGTGTCTGTCCCTACCCCGGTGACCACTCACTTGGGTCTGGGTTATATCCATACTTTTTTCTCAGATGAAGCAGGGAGCTTTGAGTATGTCTGTCTGTCTCATATCCCACATATGTGCCCTTGGCACCAGTCTGTTGGATATTCAGGGATGTTTTTTCCCTTTCTATTTTTATATAACACAACTTGAAAGTACTTGGGTCTATCTTAATACAACACAAAACCAAATGCTACACAATTAATTTTTGTGAAATAGAATTCTTGTTTTCTGGCCAGCCTCTGTAATGAAATTAAATATTCTAGCCGTACTTGGTTACTCGGTGCATACTCCAGGACCCACTTGTGACCACTGAGAAGGCTGAATGGCCTGTTTCCTATTCATTTGAGAGAAAACATCGAAACTATTATATTAACCATTAAGCGCTTTTTAATAGGTTGCCATGTGGTGACGGTCAGACTACTTTAGCAAAACAATCTTGGACCTGATTCTTTTATAACTCTTCTTTCATACAGACCCATTTCCTGACCAGAGTGGCTTTAGCATAAATGAGAATTAGGTCCTTAGAATAGGAAGGATGTTCTTTCTAATGCAGGCTTAGCTATTCACTCACTCTTGTCTTGGTGCTTTAATGGGCATCTTCATCCAAAAACTATCTATGTTTTTAAAGGCGGCTCATATAATCTCTTGAATGATGCTTCAGACGTTTGGGACTACCTACCCGCATTTTGAAAAGTGACATCTCCACATAGCCAGAATCACAGAAATAGTTCTCTTTGCTTTGTTAATCAGTGTGCCCTCATGGTCTGTGCCTGGAAGTCACTTTATTCCTAGATAATGAAACTTAGAAATAAATCTGGATATAATTCCCGCAGAGAGCACTTCTTCAGAAATCAGAAGAACCTGTATTTTATACCTCTGTGTATGTGTGAAGGGGTGGGGGGCAATCCCCCCTATAAACTGAATATGGAGTCAGTCAAATAAAGTGGCTAGTTAAATGTTCTTGATCGCATCATTTTAAGGTGACAGTGCTTCACATACCCTGGCCCAATCCAATAATTCTTTTGGGGATTTGAAGGATTGAGAGGATGCCTTGTAGAAGGGAACATTTTAATAACTTTGATTCCTTCCATTTTGGGCGTACTTTTCAAAGCATCTCCTGGATGTTGCTTCTGGCCTGAATCAAGAATGGGTAAAGAACTCCGTCATCATGAAAAATAATTTTGTAGAAAAGGTATCTGAGCTTTTTGAAGCAAAATGATGATGATGATTATGATGATAACGATGATGATGATGCGCTTTGAAGTCCAGAGCTCATGCTAGTTCTTATCAAACCAGTTCACTCCTCTTTGTTCATAATGAAGGAATAAAGCACAGAGTCCTTTTCTGATCTTCTCTGTTGCAGGACCATAATAACAGATTTTTCCTTTCTGGTCTCTATTGGAGCAACAGAGCTGACAGGAATTGAAACCAGACAGATACTGGACATTTGGCAAAGCTGTTTCACAAATTGCCATGATTAAATCTTTGCTTAATCATTGCAAAAGTGACTGTGATTGCTAGACCTTTTAAGTAAAAGTTTGAAGGAAATCATTTTTTCTTCTTTCCAAGAACAAATACCTGGCTTAGGAAGCTCACCCACTGTGCTTCTGTCTTTAATTATGGGTGACAAAGATCATTTTTGTCTTAACTCCTTTCTCAAATACATTTTCTTTTTCTCTAACGGACATTGTCCTCATTCTCTCTACTAATTTGCTCTAATTATGACGGAGTGTCTGAGCAATATCAGGGGGAAAGTGGGGAAGCACCATCCAATCCTTTTTCCCAACCAGAAGCGTTACCCATAAGTGTCAGTGAGTTTCCAGCAGACTTCTTGAACAACATGTGCTGCAGTTTTCCAGCACAAATTTTTATGCCAGGGTTTACTGAGCTTACTGATTTTCTTTCTTCTTCTTCTTCTTACTGTCAGCATTTCATATTTCCTGTCATCAAGGTTTACAGGGAACTGAGACGGTTTCCACTGCCCCTCAAAAAAACAGCTTCGAGCCTTATTGCACAATATACGGTTTCATTTGTCATTTAAACAATAAATTTCATGGTACGATGCATATGACCCCCGCAAGCAGCTGTTTACACTTAGCCACCGCACATACTTTCCACAGTAAATAGTAAACAGCTCCCTCCTGGGTCTTTGAATGGTTTTCTAGTTTTGTGCTTTTTTGGAGTCTTTCAAATATGCACCCATCTGACTGATGGTCCAGTCTCAGGGGAACCCCACAGCACATTGCAATAGCAGGCTCTAAATATCAGTGCTTGAAACATGCCATTGTTTTGTCAGTAAACAAATTCCCTAGAGCTGATGCAAGGGGAAGTGTTGTCTAGCTCGAGTCGAGTTGTTATTCCACCTCCTTGCACTGAGCAGTAAAGTGAACGCAAGGAATTCTCTCCTTCCCTCCTGCCCTTATTCTCAAACAAGCTCCATTTGATTTTTTCTGGAAGACAGTTGGACTAATGCTGCTGATTTTATTAGGGACAAATATCATTAGAAGCACCTCTTCCTTTTAGCATTGCTGTAAACTCATCCCAAACACAAACTTTGCAGAGGATTTATTCTATATTGATATTTTTAAAGTTTTGGGGGGGGTTGTGCCTACCCTTTTTTTCTTCCTCAGGGCCCTCCCCCTGACACACAAGTACACACAAGTGACTTCCAGTTTTTTTTCCTTCCATTTTTTTTCATCTTTTCCCTTGACTTAATAGTTAACAGGAGGTTGCACAATCAATAAATATACTTTTCCAGTTAAAAGAGAATGATTGCAATAATAAATAACAAATTTTCTACAGAAGGCTTAGCTTCCATCACCCTCTGCACACAGCAGTATTTTACTGTCGTGTTCCTTGTTCCTGAGAAGGCCTCCCAGCTGAAATGTGGTCACTAGCAATTTATTATCTAACAAAAGTGTACCAGTTATGATGAGAAGCATAAAATCTGATACTCTACAGCAGTTCTTTGTTTCTCTCCATTAAATGCTGTGAATTGAAGAGTATCAGGAATTGGAGGTAGGGGTTGGGGAGGGGAGGGTGTTCAAGTTTTATATTGGCCAAAAACATACCCTTTCAGGGCTGAGACCACTTTTAATACTCCTGAAAAGTAGGGTGGATTAATTTTGTTCTTCACTGGGTTTTATATTATAGCACTCAAAATGCATAATGGGAATCCCTTGCACATTATAGCTTTCCATTAAATTCTCATTGGTTGGTGCTGTGTCCACTGGTGTTCACCTGCCCTCTCATAATTATCAGCTCCAAGGTATGAACACTACAATCCCAAAAGAAGTGAATGTGCTATGGGAAGTTGTAACATTACATCTCTGTGTGTTTTCCATTTCCAGAGGTAGCATATAGGAGACTTATGTATGGAAGTCCAGCCATTAAACTTCATTGACTTCACAAACTCCCTACCCCAGGTTGTGCTGTCTGAATCTGCAGGGGCTTAATGGATTTTACTGAAAGAAACTTAGGTGCCTAAGTGTGTGCCATTGGTTATGCCCAGAACTGCTTATGGTTTGACTGCATTGAAACTTTGGCATCTTTCTTACATCCCAGCCATCACAGGATTTGCATTAAACCAGTGATATTCTGACAGTTTCTCCTAAGTCCAAAGTGGTTCTTTATCTTGTCACCTGGGGTTCTTCACGGAAAATATGGCCCCTGAATCTGCTAGGGACTGAGGGTCACTGAGATATATCTCACCTGAAGGGTCTGATTCAGTAGCCATGCTCTGAACATATATAGCCCCACCAAAAACAGATAGCCTTGGCTCTCGGCCTACGTGTCTGCAGTGGCAAAAATAGTAGTGGCACAAGTTTGTGCCATAGTGCACGACCCTGTACATGCATTTTCTTGGACAAATTGTCCTGCTTTGGGCAAATTGCCCTTTCCAAGATTGTCCTGGCTCCTGGTGTGCTGGAACAGCTGGGACAACTAAAGGAGTAGAGATGCTCTGGCTGGCAAGCAGTGCACCTTCCTGGAGGACTGAGCTTCTGTATTTGCCAGAGCATGCTCCTGCCGTATGTGCTACGCCATGTTTTTTCCCCAACACTTTTTTTTTTAACAAGGATTTCCCCATAGCAAATTTTGGCTCCACACTGCAAATTTGCAGCACAGGGCATATTTTAACATTCCCTGAATGTGGTTTGTGGTGCTACAAACCACTTGCCCCTACTTGTCTGGATGCAGCTGAGGAGGTGTTCTTTTATATTGAATGACTTAGGTTAAGTACAGACAGTTAGAAAAATCCAAGGCTGAATCAATTTAATGTTCACAGATTAGTCTAAATTGAGTAGGTTGAACCAATAAACAAGTGAACAGATGTTCACTTTTGATTCCAGAAATGCAGCCACATGCCTGCAGTGGCCCAGGCCAGAAGCTGGGAAGTGCTAGAGCACATCTCCCTGCTCAGCTGGAGCAGAGCTTGAATGTGGAGGGGATCTGGGACAGAAATTCAGTAAACCAATTTAACCTAAATCAGTTAAGTCAAATACTACATTTATCCAGGTTTCTCTTAAACTAGTTTCAGCCATTTTGAAAGCAGTTTACATGCACTGAACTTCTGTTGTGTTACAGATTTGAATCGGTTTCTGAACACTTACACTAGTTTATGTGTAATTTCTGTCCCTAGCCCTAGGGTTAGAGCAGTCTATTGGGAAATGAAAGACTCCAGATTAAGTCTTTACTATGATTTGAACCTAGGTCTCCTAACTCCCAAGATAGTGGCTTAATTACCAGAACACTAACCTGGGGTGGTGTTTCTCAGTCTCTTCTGTTGGAGTCGTGATACTTTTATCTGCAACTCTTAAATATTCACTCTGCCAAAGAGAGAAGGGAATGTGACTCCCCCTTCAGCTAGTGGCTAGGCCATTCACCTGGAATACTTGGATTCCCATCTCTACTTCAATAAACATATAATTACTTCTGCAAAGCAATTAAACTTCAACCAGAAAAAGACAATCCAGGGATATGTAACAGTTCAAGAATTAGGGCACTGTCCTAAGAGGTTGGAGTTTAGATCTTTGGTCCAGATCAGATGGATTAGAACGTATGTCTGGTACAGCCCAAGTGATTTCTTTTGCTACTGACTATTGGCTTAAGGGTAGGGGTGGGGTGGGGAAGGGCAAAGATGCAGAGAAGGTGTCCCAATCTGGGGACAAAAGGGGGTGGGGGGGCTTGCTCTATACGTTAGGGAACATTATACATCTTCTGTAATAAAGATGGGGACAGAAGAAGGGTAAATTGAAGTCCGGTGGGTCAGATTACAAGGGGGCAGGGGTGAAAGGGACTTGGTAGTAGGGGTCTACTATAGACCCCCACACCAGGAGGAAGAGTTAGACCTGAAATTCTCGAAACAGCTCTCAAAGGCAGTACGCTCAAAAGACCTAGTTGTCACGGGTGACCTAAATTTCCCAGACATCTGCTGGGAGGAGCAGTCGGGCAGGTCTGCCCATTCACGTAGGTTCTTAACCTGCATGCAGGACCTGCATCTAACACAGGACATATGCAGTCCCACTAGGGGAGATGCCTTACTTGACTTGGTGCTGGCCTCAAGGGGAGGACTTGGTGGGGGATCTACAGCTACAAGGTAACCTAGGGGATAGTGGCCACCAGTTGATAGGATTCACTATCCAGCATAAGGTGGGAAAAACAACTAGCTCAGGAGATTGGTTAGGGTCGGACTGAGGGGTAATCACATCTGTGAGATGGGGGTCCAAGGGTGGGAGTTCCTCAAGGGACCAATCCTACAGGCACAGAGCGACACCATCCCAGTACATCCAAAGGGAGGCAAAGAGCCTTCAGGGGGAAAAAGCAGCCTACAGGCTGTGGAAGCAGGGGACAGCCATCAAGGAGGAGTATACCTGCTTGACTCATGCTTGCAGGGAAGC